TCATTAGCCATTTAGCTGACTTCGGGCTTCACAGAGAGAAAGAGGATCTTCCAAGTGACAAAAAGTCGAGGGGTGGGGAACAGTAAAAGAGGCAGACGGACACAAAGGTAGAGAAAAAGGTGAGGTGAGTACTGAGGAAGGGGTCGAATATGACAACCAGGGGGGTCGTGGTAGTTTGAAGTCAGAAGTCAAATGCCGGTTAATAGACTTTTTACTGTATGAGTATACGTTGCCCAGGTTGCACCACGTGGAGGTAAGTCTATCGCACACCCCTGTGTGCTGATAACGCAAAGTGTAACAATAAATGAAGAGTAAAATTTAACCCCACTTCAGTAATGAGATGAAACCAACTAATGGTTTGAATTACCGTGGGAGACATCTCAAAATTGCCTTTCCAGATCTGAATGGAAGGGAACGCACGTAAACGGGTGTTTATGGAGTGAAATACTGTTCTTAAATAATTCATTTCTTCTCTTGTCATTTTCAACGTAGCATATCTCTTGAATAGAAGAGCTTTTGGAGGACTTCTGGGCAACCCTGCTTATGCTTGTTCTCGTTGTTTCAGTAATGTGTATCTCAAAGTAAATATTTTAGAATTTATATGCGGTACTAGAGGAATACGAGAAGCTTCATGAGGAAGGAGACACTACAGCCCTCGTGAAGACATACTATTTAAGAATACGTGAGCTATTTAGAAAAGCAGAAAATGTGCGTGAATTTTTAATGAGGTTTCCAAAATGTAAAACGGACTTTCACCGCGTTTCTTTCCTCCTGGAGATATGTGCAAAAGAGAAATTGGGTAAGCTCCCCACCCCCTCTCTCTCTCTCTCTCTCTCTACCCATTGCGCTATACTTGATTTGAATGCTCTGTGTATTTTTTAAGCGAGTATTTTGCTTCGTTTTAGTTAAGAATGGGGCCATTTCTGGTTTGCCCTCGAAATTGAAGGAAATCAAGGTTGGAATGGGGAAAGATGATGCCCTCTCTGAAGCGTTTCAGCAAAAAAGCAAGCATTTCTGGGAGATGAGAGATGGACGAAACGCTCTAAAATACTTAACTTATTCCGTATTTTATGCCAAATCAAATGAACAGAAATTCAGTTCCATCGTCTCAAGGTTCTTTCTGTTATATAACATGGAGAACTACGAGGACGCCCTAGAAGATTCCAGAAATGCCCTTGAAGTATGTTTTCTTTCAATCAACTAGGTGTAGACGACAACAAAAACATTCTTAATATCGTAAAATCTAGTTGCTTATTGTTTAAAAAAACGCATATGGAGAAAAATTGGCTTTGGAAGTATTAATTGTCTGCGTCTAGTGTCCGTAAAGGATCATGTGTGACTGCAAACATTTTTTTCTCCTTTAAGAATACACTTTGATTAGAATTTTAGTGATATTCATTGTGACGCAAAACTGAGTATTCATTCATTGAGATTTATTTGCAGAAGTGGAAAAATTGGCGCAAATTGCGTAATTAAGACCGAGAAAATTTGAATCGGGCTTCATTTGCTTTCATGTGAATTTGCCTCTTCATTGAGTGCCTAAATTTGTGTTTATGCTATTAATAGTTTATTGATAATTTGACTTAACAGAGTAACTAGTCGTTCATTCAGCAATGTATTTGTCTTTGTGGATAATTGGAATTCGGAACTATATATAAATATATATATATATATATATATATATATATATATATATATATATATATATATATATATATATATATATATATATATATATATCGGAATAAAGAGTTTACTAAGAAATATAGATTCAGGTAGTCGGAGACCCCTACTCTTAATTATCCGTACGGGGTTTAGCGAATAAATCAATATCTTTAAATTTTCGGTTGAAGTACACAAAGAAAAGCCTCAAATCGCTTCATTTCCTTAATAAAATTCAGTTGCCATTTTTGTGGTCTATAGCTAATCAGATCCCATTCGGAGGAAAGTGAGGGGGGTGCCTAACTAATTATTATGCAATTAATTAGTTGTCTGGTTGGACAATATTGCTCGCCAAGGGTTCTTTATTGGTAATCTTACACAGCCAGGGGTATGCGATAGACTTACCTCCACATGGTGCACCCTGGGCAACGTATACTCATACGGCAAAAAGTCTATTAATCGGCAGTTGACTTCTGGCTTCAAATCCCCATGACCCCACTGTATGTCATATTCTACCACTTCCACAGTACTCATCCTACCTTTTCCCTGCCTTTGTGTCTGTCTGTCTCTTTTGCATCTGTGTGTCACTCTTCTGCACCCCCTCCCTCTTGAATTTTTCTAACTTTGATTTTCCTTCCCCCTGTGAAGCCCGAAGTCAGCGAAAGGGCTAATGATAAAAATGAAAATCTTACACAGCCAGGTCAACATATATGTTTCCAATATTCACCAGTCCATTGCAAGGAAGAGGTGGTACGAATGACTCAAGTACTGTTTTACTATAGTCAATTATACGCATCGAAATATTTTGATTTTCCCTTCCTAACTAACAATTTATAGCCCTTTATAATATATACCGAATTTCAACAAAGATCCTTGCTATGTTGTCCTTTTAGATTCAACCAAAGATGCTCTTTTTACTATATTTCTATACCGCCCAATGTCATATGAAGTTGAACAACTTTACACAGGCTTTGGTGTACTTTAGAAAAGCCAAGGAAATTGAACCCGATCAGGAAATCGATCGAGAAAAATATCAAGAGCATTTGGATTATGGAATAGAAGAATGCGATAATAGACAACGCGTACGCAAAGCGGAATCGAAATGGTTTAGTTATCATCCACAACCTCCAGATCACCTGGCTCCTCTAAGTCAGGGTAAAAGCTGCCCTAAGTCTCCAAAAGGCGGAACTTGGCAATTTAAAAACACAAACGAACGTGGATGGACTTTGAAGGCAACTAGGAACATTTCTATCGGTATGACCTTGCGAATGCGCCGTTAAGTTTTCTTTCAACCAAATGTATTTTTTAATTTCTCTGTTTGAAAATTTAATTGTAGGTGAAGTTTTATTGGCAGAAAGACCCTATGTGTCGATTCTTAATTACCCTCGAACTGAAAATTGTTATCACTGCTATAAGCGGTGTTATAGCCTATTGCCGTGCAGCGGTTGCCCTTATGTAAGCCATTTTAATAATTTGTCTAACAATTACCGGGATCAATAATGTTATAATACAAAATTGATAAAAAACGTTGATGATATTGAACACATACTAAGGTAGTGCCAAATGTTAGGCAATAATTACTTCTGCGTTTGAGACCTAATCACCCTAAATTTACAACTTGTTTGGGAGTCCTTTTGAATTGTGTTGCTGGCCCTCATCTCATTAAAACTATTAATTGATTTTATCTGTTTGGAATCTGGGCGTACGATAGACTTACCTCCACGTGGGGCGCCCCGGACAGCGTATACTTATACGGCGAAAAAAGTCTATAAACCGGCAGTTGACTTGAAACTACCATCACCCCACTATATGTCATATTACAACGCTTTAACAGTACTCACCTCACCTCTTCTCTGCCTCTGTGTCTGTCTGTCTCTTTCACATCTGTGAATCACTCTTCTGCACCCCACCCCCCTCTTGAATTATTCTCACTATGATGTTTCACCTCTATGTGAATCCCGAAGTCAGCTAAAGGACTAATGTTAACTATCAATGCGATTGCCATTTGAAATAAATAAATAAATCTATTTGAAGTCCCTGATCTGAACTTTGGACAAAAATTTAGCACTGAAATCATGTTTCATGCTTTGAAGTTGTACAATTCAATATTATGGTACCGGGCGCGTTCTCTCTCTCGAAGTGTTGGCACATAATGCCAAACGCCTTTTAAAGTAACATTGATCAGCCGTTTTTTTTCGCCATTTAATGTCCCCTTTTCGTGTCAAATTAGGTTGGATTTTGCAGTGAAAAATGCGCTAATGGAGCAATGTCGGTGGATAGTTCTGTGAGTACTGGAACTGGTCGACATAGGTATGAGTGTGGTATTCTCCCATTCATCTTATTAAACAAATTTTCCTCAAACATATCAGAAGATCAGAGTTATACTGGATGCGCCGCAACAAGCCACCTCGCCTATAGGTGTATTGCAAATACGGATCCACACAGACTCAAAAGTTCCATTACTGCTCCCTCTACGAGAGCCTTGGTAGGTGAACATTTCGGAGCACTCGAATGTTAAGAGAACTTTCATTAAATGCTATTTTTTTCTATTTTACCGCTTTTAGATCGCCTATAGACAATATGCCTAATACATTAAAAGTAGCATTTCATATACATGCTCAGTTAAATTCTATATATCAATGTGAAAGAAACCTAACAGAACTTAAAAATTCAAAGGTCAGATCTTGATCGTAAAATGAATACGACGATTTGCTTTCAAATATCAGATGTTCAATGCCCATAGATGAACGATCAATGATCGAAATATCTAACTGAGCAGAGAGAGTGCTTGAAAACGTTGTCCTAATGAGGCTAGAGTAGTCATTATAGTTCAAATTTCAGGGGACTAGACACGAATGCCTACTTAATATACCCGATGATATGAGTGGCCAAGAACAATCGCTAATCCCGACTGATCGATAAGAGAATGCTGAAATACGAGCTCCTCTCAAAGTTATTTTCCCCGTAACGTACCTTTAACATGATCGAACATAGCTATGAATATCCTGAAAAAAAATATGGACTATACTGAAATGCTTTGGCCATTGATGCATTTTTCATCTCACCTCCCCTTAAATGTTACTTTTAGAATGTTGCAAAAGGTCACCAGGCCTTTAGAGGTAAGAAGGAAGTTCGTAAAGTTCCGCCCAATCAAATTGATTCTTCCGACTATTCCTCGATCACTTGGCTGGACAGTTGTTCCGAGAAGAGGGATTTAATTGAACTTTGGCAGAAGACAATTGCAGCCCTCTTTCTCACCTATTGCCTTTGGGTAAATTAAACGAAAAAAACACTACTCTTTATAAATTTGCGAATTTAAATAAAGTTAGAGTGTAATCAATGATTTCGTATTGATTTTTTATGTAGATTTCTGGTTATCCAATGGATTGGAGCAAGATAGATAAAGAAGAGCCAAAGTTCGAAGGCAAGGGTTCGAGGCCTCTGTCAGTCAGTCATGTAGCCGCTTGCATGCTCTATCATCTTCAGGCGTCAACAGTTAACTGCCAAGACTATTTTATGCTTTCAACTCCTTCGCGTGAAGTGCCGCCAAAAACATGCAGGTCTATTGCAACTGCCATCTATCCCACCATCTCCCTCATCAACCACGCCTGCAATCCTTCCGCGGTTCTTGTTAATACAGCCCGAGGGGGCGCGTTTCTCTATGCTTTGAGACCTATCCTTGCGAATGAAGAAATAACCGTGTGCTACAAATACTCCTACTTCTCAGCCCCAGAATCAGCGCGCCGTTTCCTGCTGAAATGTTACTTTCACTTTGACTGCAATTGCGAGGCTTGTGCAAACAAGTGGTTCACAAGAAACCAATTCGACTTGGGCACATTAAAGTGTCGAGAGTGCAAGAAAGCATTCAGTGTTGATAAAGAGGAGTGTGGAAAATGTCATTCAAAAGAGACGGCTATTGCATTTAAGAAGTCATTACTGCAACTCATGGGAAGTAGGTTCTCCCTCACCCGTGGACTCAAATGTCGTGAGAAGTGCACTTTAATTTATAAGGAGTTGCAAGAGGTACTTAGGTCCCATGGTGCTTGCCATGCCTACCTCCAATCACTCTATAGTTATATAATCCTTTTAAAGTTTGGTAATCTATCTATTGAACCATTTGAACGAGTGAACTACTAACTTTTTATGAACATTTAATTTCAATCTCTTTGGTGTTAAAAAATGAGGAAATATATTATCGAAACGGTTTTTTGCACTGTCAGCTACCTCGTACTTCTTACCAGCAAACCTCGTATGTAAAGGGGAGGGTTATGAATTGGGAATAACGTACAGTTGAAGTGCCTTAATGACATGGGTAGAGAACTCAGTAAGTGTGTGTATGTGTGTGTGTGTATACAGCATGTACTAAGTGGTATTTATGATAATCGAATTAAAATTCGTGCAGAATAAATATCACCATATTCAGTTATAGTTGGTCAGATTAGCCAATTGCAGAGTTCAATTATTTCCGTTCACATGTTAGAACGAAGTGGATTCGATAAAGGCTCAATAGTCCCTGCAACGGCTAAGTCAGTGCTCAAATTGCGTTTGCATGCAAATTCAATGATAACAAATGTGCTTTAGTATAAGTTCAGATCGAACACAGGATAAAGAGTTATGTCTTCGCCACATCCAAATTTACATTTTAGCATCAATTGAGCTCAAACTCTGGTAGGCTAAAATGCGGTTTCTAGAGTGAAAGAATTCAATTGAAGAGGAAGGCAGAAATGCCAAAATTACACTTGAATGGAATAAGTTCAACATTTGACTTGCTTCATGGGTCTAGTGCAGTTGTGATAGATTTATATCAAATAGCAGGCTTTATGGTAGTTATCATTAGCCCTTTAGTTGACTTTAGGCTTCACAGAGGGAGAGGAACATCAAAGCGAAAAAGTCGAGAGGTGAGCGGGGGAGAACAGAAGAGTGATTTAAAGATGTAAAAGGGACAGGCACAAAGGTAGATGAAAGGTGAGGTGAGAACTGTGGAAGTAGTCCAATATGACATACAGTGGGGTCATGATAGTTTGAACTCAGAAGTCAACTGCCGGTTTATAGACTCTTTTGCCGCATGAGTATACATTGCCCAGGGTGCATCATGTGGAGGTAAGTCTATCGCACATCCCGCAGTTGTGATAGAGGTCATGTGTATATAAATTATACCAAATATAAGCAAAATAATTGATTTATGGCATTTAGCGCTATTGTACAATGTGACCTTTCAGAGCATTAGAAAGAAGAAGTAGTATTACTACTACTATCGTGGCTAGTTGTGTTATTATGGCCAATCCCCCACCGCTGCTTAATTAGTTTTGAAGGTATGGTCAACTCTCGGCTAGAATACGAGTTTCTCCTAAGAACGAGTGTCAGATGACAAGCCCCTTCTTGTGTAAAGTGTGCTGTGATGACCCCCTTTTAATTGACTTATGATGTTTCGGAAGGTAAATCCAAAATGTAGCTCTTAGACTGAAGGAATATGAAGTAAATAGAGCGCAAATAAAAAACAAATTGGTGCTTTATTTGCGCATGCATATCTAATTGTAGTGTTTTTGACCTAATGTTTTAAATATTAGCGTCATACAGAAAGAGATCATAAATTCACTAATTGAGGAACGTTTGGCGAATTTTTTGAGGAAATCAAAGTAGAGTGGAGCTGCATGCAAGACAATTCTAGAGCTATTAAAACAAAAACAGTTAATTCAAAATTAATGACTTTCGCGCAAATATAACTCCAACCGGCCTATGTTTGAATTTATTATAAATCTGCAATAAAAGGAAGGACCGTGATGGTGGTGGTGGTGGTGGGGGGGGGGGGGGGATTGTGAATTTTGTAGATTTTCAGAAAAACGGAATGGGTTTTCAATAGACATTTTGTGTGGCATGAAGCAGTGGCTTATATGTCTTCTTGACGCCATAAAGCAACTAGGTAGGAAGTCAAAGAACATCTGTCCAGTACGGAACTAGTGTTGATTGCAAAATGTAAATTTCACGAAGCATTTAACCACATATGTATGGCGAAGTTGGGATTACATTTATTGAGGTCCATTCACACTTAGATAAACGCAGCTTGGGTATTGGAATTAGGTAACAACGGCTCATTAACACAATTAGACCATATCCAACAAGACAGTGAACTTATTGTGCAGGAAAACGGAATAAGGACACACAGATATCGCAACTGATTCAGGACTCGACAGACTGTAGAGTGTAATGTATTATGAAGCAAATTGTAGATATGAAAATATTGAATGTACTTATGAGGTTTTAAATGAGAAATCTCGTTCGAAAGGGAAACAACATTTTGTAACTCAAACCACTACTTCTCATTTGACCTTTCTACCCCAAATTTGATTTGCTGGTGAGGTTTGTCTTCTTCCAATCTAACCCTACTTCCAACGTTCTTTTCGGAACGTGCCTGTAGTGCATGCTAATTAGAGAGTTTTTTCTGTACCCTTTATTTACCTTCTTTTTAACGCACATTCAAGCAAGCATTTTCCACCACCAACTCAATTCTTCCCCGTTCATCATGTCAACTACAAAACATTAAGAAAACCCCTAATTTTGCATGAGGATTTATCAATTTCCGGCGTGGTTAGTCACTATGTCACGGGGTGCGCAATAGACTTACCTCCACGAGGTGCACCCTGGGCAACGTATATGCAAAAACGTCTATTGGCCGGCAGTTGACTTCTGACTTCAAACTACTATGGCCCGACCTATTCTGTACTCATCTTACCTTTTTATGCCTTTGTGTTTGTCTGTCTGTCTCTTTTACAACTGTGAATCACTCTTCTGTCCCCTTCTCAACTTTTTGTCTCTTTGATGTTCCTCCTCCTCTCTATGAAGCCTGAAGTCAACTAAAGGGCTAATGATAACTCTCAAAACGCCTGCCATTTGATATAAATAAATAAATAGTCACTACGTCACTTAATTTACGTCAACCTTAACTGAAACGAATTAGAAAAGTTTATATGACGTGGTGCCCGATACTACGCTCACATTTATCGCAATATATATCGCGACGATATTTCAAGCCAAAATTCACATAAGTAAGTGAATTGGATGATTATTAAGTTTGAGAATCTCACAAAGGAGGCCCCACAAGAACATGAGTGCCGATTTTTTTCTTGATAGGCTTAGGGTCTATGCTGCATATGCACACTTTACGCCTGTCAATTTTTTGGTATTATAACATCAAGTGAACACCCACCGAAGTTTTACGAATACTACACCTATTAATAATTACTTGAAAATATAAAGAAATATAAAGGAAAATCAAAGTCACCAAACGAAAACAGTTATATTTTAGGAATATATCAATACCTTCCAAAGGTTATTTTAAAAAGTAGATAAAGAAAGATGTGCATTTCAAAGGAGAATTACACGACGTCGGAATAAAACTCTAATTTGATCAATCAATTGGTCTAGATAGGTGGTTTAGAAGAGGAATGTTGTTTGATTACCAATTCTTCTTCAACTGAAGCTGCTGATGACGTCAGATGATGTGATTCAGGCAAACGCCATGTTCGCTCAGAAAGTACCTCTTTTGGGACAACAAAGAGAAGTTGGGAATCGGAAAGTTCTTTTAATCGCCGTTCAATATAATTAGAGAACTCTTCATGGGACTTCGCGACTAGCACAGGCTTACGCAGCTTCGAATCAAGGTCGTAATAGTTAACCACTTCAGGATCAGGAGTTGCAATACCCCGGAAAGCAACCCAATGTCGTCCACCAACTGACGCAATACTTTTCCGACGAGCGTTGAGAATACAACCGACAATTTTGCTCCAATCTAAGCGGTGATCAGCAAGACTCGTACGTTTGTCAAACCATATTATGTCATGCCCTGTCTCCTGTAGCGCAACGATTAAAGCATTTGCATCGTAGTTACCAAGGCCAAGGATATTGCGGTGAGGATTCATAAAAGGCGAACAATCAGGTGCTAATTCTTCACAAATTCTATTCAAATCGGCCTTAGTTACAGCATGGCGTTGTAAGACATTATTTATTGCATGAACTGCGCAAAGCATAAGGGATTGCCGCTGGTGATAAAGATTTGGTGGAAGCGCATTATTTTTACTGTCACTCATTAGAGTCATACACACAACACACTTGAAAAATACTACGATCTCTAGGTAAATAATAAGGGGGAAGCCAAGTTAATCCAAAGTCAAAATAAAAAGCTATGGTTAATACAAGATATGAAAAAACTCATATCTCATTACTTTTAAAAGTTAAACATCAAGAAGTTTGTGCTAAATAAACGACGAAACTATACAATTACAATGTAAATTCTAAAAAAATATTGAGAAAAAATTGAAATAAGAGACAAAACGCAGAGAAACCCGAACCAATTCAACCCAGCAGCCAATGAAATACTACCAAGATCTAATATTTTAAGATGCTCATTTTTCATTATAAAGAACATTTAAATGATTTATTATTCGAACCAGTAGCTGTAATTTCTTCAGCCACAAGGAAATATTATTACTTTATTATACTTAATGAATACTACATAAGTTTAATTTCACGTCTCTAAATTCGGATCGCTAATCTAAACAAATAGTTCACTATGATTGAGAGAATCTTAGATGGGAACACAGAATAGACAAGAGAAACGCCCCAATAGTGCATTCTTAATAATAGTTGCTAATAGTGCATTTAATGCTTGCACCTACAAATCACTGAAAGTACTTTTTAAAACCCCACATGCGTTTTGCTCAATGTTAAAACCGTACTCATAATCCTGTTTGATTTAAAATAAAAAAATTAACAAATCCTTTTAGTTTAGTTATGGTTTCATATACATGCAAAATAATCTAATGCTAAGATGCAGTCGAAATGATGGACTCAGTGGAATTCGTAATTACTTTGTTCTCAAGCTTTTGCGACTATATTCAAAATCAAATATTTTTGTTAATAAAGACTAAAGACAAATATAATAAATTCATCTCACTAAAACTCTAAAAAACTACTTTAAAATGCCAGCAATCTATGAATATTAATACTAAAGCCTCTTCGTTTGCATATTATTTGTCTTTGGTTACAAACAATTAACACACTTGGGCCGTTCTTTTGAGCAAATGAAAACTCATGCTTTTTTAATGACAATAGAATGCATGAGGGCATGTACAGGAAAAATGACTGATTAACTAAAAATATTATAAAAATGTCCTATTTCATTACTAAAATCCTGAATGTCAAGAAACCACTTCAACCTGAGGATCCACATTGAGCTAATAATCACAACTATTCAACTAGTGTAAGGCGATTTTTTGCAACTTTTGAACATAATGAGCTGGTGTTGGAGTGTCCTTTGTACTCGCCGCAACATTGGAGGTTCATTTATTTTCGTATCTAAATTTCAAGGTCGGACTGGTTGCTAACCTTGGAACAGGCTTCGCCCCAATTTCCACACTATACCCTTCCTAAAGTGATGAAGTTGTCTCATTTCACAAAGTTGATTTTCCAAACCTATCAGGCACCCTCATTTGGAGCTAGATTTTGCCGGTATGTATTCTATATGTACATTTTTCATTTAAATAGTTTTGGAACTGGTACCCAATACCGTAAAAACTACTATAAGATCCTTGGAGTCCCATCGAATGCATCTCCTCAAGAAATCAAAAATGCTTATGTAAGACTTTCTAAACAGGTATGCTGTGGTGAAACCTCATTATTATATGCTTAGTATCATCCTGATGTCGCTGGCAATGATGTCGATTCTCGTTCAAAGTTCGTTGAGATAACCGAAGCATTCTCCATTCTGGGTAAAGAAACCAATAGAAAGGAGTATGATTTCCAGCGTAGAATCAATGCTCTCAGTGGAATTGAAATGGGTTATAAAATTGACTATCCGAAACCTGACGCCCTGGATCCCAAGCTAGTCGCTGCGTATGATGAGGAAATGCGACGAAGATGGAATGAAAAATTAATGGACTGGATGCGAGGCCAGGGTGAATACGAGTTAGAAAGAGGTCATCACATGGTTCCCATCCCAGCTAACCTCGGCATTTCTTATTCCTCATCCGAAATATCCAAACATGCCACCATATTGCTGGCCGGTTTTCTCCTTTTTTCCATTGGATTGTTTTCCATCTACCAAGAGTTGTACGTTACTATTTGTTAAAAAATCATTATTTGATCTTAGTTATGTTAGTGATTCTAATTGTTTTCCATATTTTTTTCAGAAAACGCGAGGCTCGGGAGGAATCCCCAAAAGTACGAACAAAAACGATTATCACGTAGATACTTCTATTATAATGTTGTAAATTTACAATACACTCCTACTAATAGTTTCAGTATCGTCTGACAATCTGCCGACACGCCCCCCATAGAGATATCGCGTAAATAACCGATAAAATACCCTCATATCGAGGTTAGCGTATTTGGTATTTCGCAGCATGCTACGTTTGGGGTAGCGCTTTTGTACCAATTCGTGGTTGCCATCCACCCAGGCAACATTCATTATTCCTGGAGGCTTTTTTCCGTCATTTTGACTCCAATTTGGAACCTCCAATGTGTTCAACTGAAATGCAATAAAATCGAAGAAAACCCCGTCAGTACATACTGCTTCAACAGCTATGGGTTCGGGCAGAGGGCCGTTGTTGCTCGTGGTGTTGCCATAAATACGCTTAGCGGTGGATACGCACGACGCATAGCAGTTCATTATACCGATGGTCTGACGTTGGGCCACGGTTATACGCTCTCTTTCGGGGGCTGTGAAATCTGACCAGGTGTTGGGCAAGGCGACATTTACGGAAATTAGATGGGGATAGGGATATGTCGTGGTCTAAAATAGGTGAATTGAGAATATTATAGCAATGTTCGGATGAACACGTGATCTGAGACATTACTGTAATGCACCTTCTCAATGTAGACATATTAACTTTCCTGTATTCAGAAAATTTAATATTCTCTCGTTTTATAAGACTAATCAACAGGTATGCGTGCTAATAACTAGTAGATCTGATCAAATTATTTTTACGAGGGTCATTTCTCTGAAATCTATTACAAATACAAAAACGGAAACGATTTTGCACTTTTGAGCTAGCATATTGTTTTACCACAATGTCACTAAATCTAACCATTTCGAATGATCATCCCATTTACTTTACGTGAATCTCTGATTTAATCGTTTAAAGTGAGGCTTAATTTACACCCGAGCAAATTGTGAAGTGCAGGAATTTCAGAATACGAGAGTCGGCACCATCCTCAAGGCTTATCTTAAATCGAAATACCCAAAAAGCATGATTTTTTCGATGTAGATCTACGCAGACACTAGAATCCAAAACGAAAAATCCAAATTTGATACCAGTAGGTATGTTTTTAATGCTCAATGTCCCCCACCCCTTCAGTACAAATCGCGTCCTTAGAATGACCTTATGATGAAATTGACTAAACAGATCTCTTGTCTCATTCCATAAAATCCCTAATTGACATAATAATATATCTAACAAAATCTTCTCTTAACAGGGGGCGAACTAGGTCTTAGCGATAAATAGCTTTTAACAACGTACCTGAATGCCATCTGAGCTCTCTTCAGGATACATTTTGGTAGAAGTTAGATCAATAAGCGGTGAAATGAGATTCATTTTATCCTTAAATTCCCCAAATAACTTGACGGCATCATCCGGAATAGCAGTCGATCCACCAGTCTCAAACAAAGGCAGAGGATCTTTGGACAAAAGAGCAAAGTCATTTTTCAGACTCAGCTGAACTCTACGACCCGCGTCTTTGTCTCCCCAGTTAAATGACGTATCCACTCGACGGTCGCGTAGCAACCATCTCTCCGGAAGACCAGTATCAGGATCACATGGTCCAATTAAATCCATTTTTACGGCCTGAAAAACCAAACAAGGGGAGGGGAGTCATTTTCATTTCTACTTACAAATACCGAACAAGAAAAAAAGCGTAAACATAGTAAAAGTGCATGCTTACTTGATTGTGACAAATTCGAATGAGATTGTGCAGAAGATAGCGGGCAACATTAAATGGATGTATACCGAATTCAGTCTTAAATTTCCAAATAAGCAAATCTGGGTTGTAGCGCTTTGGTAACTTGTCTTCATCTGTGTGCCATGTGTGCGCATGAAGAATACTTCGCTCTACCTCGGGAACAAGTGACAACATCGAATCTCTCTTTGACAAAGCGGCTTCAACTTGGTCATACAAAATCTGCGTATTCGGAGGCGGGCCTTGACGCACAATAGTCTGAAATATAGACGGTGAGGTAAATATGACAAGTACTAGATTGAAGGAGGGTGTAAATAAAAGTTACATTAGTTAGCATAGCTGCTTGTGCAATGTCCCTGCAAAATAGACGTGACGGGTCAAAAAGCAGACTGGCAGGTTTATCAACAGCACTGGCTTGAGTATTTCCGATGTATTGAGCAAAACGATGAGTACGTTTGTGATTCCACTCTGCGCGTTCCTCAGCAGTTGCACCAATTTCAATTTCACGTGCTAGAGCCTCCTTGTAGCGAAAAGCGGAATTTCCAAATGTATCCTCAGCCTGAGATGCAATCTCTGAAAGTGTTGGATCAACAAGAGCCTGCTTTGGTACTCTAAGACGTTGAGCAATCATTACAGACCCTTGTTCTTTCCACTGTTTCTTGATATAAACTGGAAGAAAATTGTGCCGAATTCGACGACTACGTAATGCTGACAGTCGCATTTCTAAAATACAGCATATTTCGTAACCCACTACACACAAAAGCTACTATAATGACTTAAGAAAAATAGGAGAGATGGGCAAAGAAAAACTTTATTTTTTGGTCAAAATGGAGTGTGAATAAATTAAATATACTGAATTTACAGCCACCTTGAGCGTCAAAATAATGCAAAAGACTCTATTTGATGTAGAAATAAGCGACCACTGCCGCAATTCCTATGACAGCAGGTAGAATGGCTCCAGTCCATCCACTAAAGAAAGTAAATGATTAAGAAATCGCATACACCCAGTTGAATATGAAATACGAAAAAACTCACGAAAAATTGGCTGTCCTTTCCCGAGAGTAATTTGAGGAAAATTTAAGTGTTTGCTCCTTGTCTGCTTCAGCAATTACACCAATGCAGTACTTCTCCATTTGCTTTCGGGCAGCTTCCGAATGGCAAACATCCTCAAATGGCTCCGTGGCATAACCACCGCCGTTTTCAAGAATAACAAAGTCACCACCTGGATGCTAAATGATACAGTATTATCAATTTTCATCAAATAAGTAATTCGAAATCACACTTTTATACACTATCCCTACCTCGTTCAAAAATTCAGACACATTATATACTTTATTGTGAATGATTATCCAACAATCATCTTCTGACTTATGTTTCTGAACTTCCTCAAGGGTAAATACACGTTGCTCGGACATTGCAGGAACGGGGCAGGTGGAAGTACTTAGCTTAGAAAGAGAACGTTTCGACCTTGAGAATTGGAACAAATTGCATTTAACTGTTCGCATTTCTACATTTAAATTCAGATATATGCTCTCATATGAGCTTGTAATTTTAATTTTGAGAAAAGGACTGCGGACAAATGACTGACAAATTATTTTGTGCCTATTCGAGTTTGTTATGAATGGAACAATTTTGAAATTATTAAAAATATTTTAAATTCCGCTTACCCAAGTAATTGTCATTCCAAAGAAATAAAGTCGCCGTTTTAAAATAGTCACCTAACCTTTCTCTTTAAAGAAGAAAGAGGGAATAGAGAGGCTTTGTGGCAAAAAATAGGAAAAGGGGTAATTTCAAAGGTAAAAATTAAAACGTAAAAAGAGAAGTTGCGTATATTATAGAGCTCAGCTAATTTCAAATTATTACGGATATAATAACTTTTATTATTTCATTTCAAGGTCGATGTCATCTGTGATTGCTCAGTTGATCACAGCATCCATCACAATGATATAACTAGACAACTTAGTTCTTAAAGGGAAATAAATTTTGATTTGTCTTTTATGAATTCGTAATAACGTTACGCCCATGCAGCCTACATCGAGCGAACAGGAACAATAAGTAAATTACCTCATGTCACTAGATTAGTACAGAGGTTTTCAAATGAGCAAAATGGTCAAATCGAATGAAAGTAAAAGCATTTGCCCTCACGGGGAAATTATGGAAAGGTATAATAGCTAGGGTAAAAACTAGGTTCCTAACAACTAGTCATTCATCTTTTGGACTAATGGTGGTTGTAGTTATGCTAATAAATGTATTAAAAAAATTAAATATAGTTATATGGAAACTGGATTAAAATTTCAAACTCTTCTAATACAATCCAAATTCAGAATTTCAGCTTATTGGTGCCTGAAATTTTAATGTAATGTGAACAGGAGATATATGAGCAACGAGACAACTTAGCTAATCATCCCGAACAGATATTAGTGACTGAACACTATCAACGTTGAGCAAAAATGTTGAATCAATAGAAATGGGTGACTTCCCAGTCATGAACAAATTGTTCTAGCTGCTTGAGATCTGGACAATAACTATCGACCTGGTCCACTAACAAATATATCAGCAAAGTTCCGTTAAGTATTCCGTTAAATTAGCCTATCTGTTCAAATGTGCTAAGTAGATCGGTGGTTACTTTGCATAATTTGGAAGTGAATACTATGCTCAAGGGATTTACATGCATTTGAGCTCTGGGATTTGTAGCAATTTCGGAGGTCAAATCAATTTTCAATAACTGACAAGAATATATTATATACTACTTCTGAAGCGATTACAATTCTAAATGTAAAATAAATGTCCTCCTCTTCGTAGCAAATCGTGAATTACGCTCTTCTTTGCAAAATGTTTGAGAGCCTAGCCCCAGAAACTTTCCTCTCCCCACCAAAAGTTTCTCGCTAAAATCCCCCTTGAGGTTTCAAAAATATCGTCTTTTACTGATTCTTGCAATTTTTTATGAAGTCAGCCTACTATCCCAATGCTCAATTAAGGTCCCTTCATCCTCTCAAGCAAAGGTCGTTGGTTTTACACCGATATTAGTCTCGTTCGCGGAATGCTACTGCATCTTCCGACCAGAATTTATTTATACTTACTTCATAAAAATAGAATATTATTTAAAATGTGCTAAATTAGAGGGTACTTGACTCATATTATTTGGGTACAAAACATAACAATGAGCCTATTATGCATTTTATTAAGTTTTTTACGAAATTTAAATCGATGAAATACTATGATTCTCCTTCTATGCGGTTGTAATTATATCCAGTTATGAAATAAACTGAGAATGTCTGAAATGTAATATAAAATGCCGTAAAATAATCTTATTTTAGTCGAAAAATCGGGTATTCGATATGATTCAAATTGAAAGCAACTCAAAATTTTTAAAAATGGTCCTCAATTGTTTCTTTTTTACAGAAATCTGAGAGAAAGATATATATGTATATAATATGTGATGATAAATTACTTCATCGAAAAATTACCAATTTAACTCGCATTACTTTATTATATAAATCTTCGAGAGTTATTTTAAGCATTTTTATTTAAATATACTGCACTTATTTTATTATATTAACTGACTGGTTTTATTTGTTAATGCTAATTTCAATCAATTTTATTGTGACCTTGTACATAAGTTAGGAATTCATGGTCAAATAATTAAACCAACTATACGGTTTGGGCTTTTACGGAATCCCTTTTTTGGATTTAATATGAAACCGAATGAGGTTCCAACAAAATCAAATGGATTATCAACCGACAGAGCCTTGCGTAAATTATATCATCAGCTACAGAGCATTCGATTTCATAACGAAATTTATACCAAATTACACTGGAAAGATTTCCGAAAGTTCATTCCCGTTCCATATCCCCTTGCGTACATATTTTCTGTCGTTTTATTCACGATTTCAGCGATTTCATTGAGTTGTCAAACCACATATTACACTAAGTAAGAATGTTATCTTTACATATTTTGCTTCTAGCGTTATTTGGAATACATTGACTGCATTCTTGCTTATTTCTTCCAGCTGTTTTACAATCATAGCAAATATTAGACGATTAAAATGCCATTCAAATGTTACTCTAATTGAACTTTCAAAAATTCTCGAGGATATCAATTGCAAGTTTTTAATGTTTCTTATCCTTTCTTTCTACAGATTTGAGATCTCACGATTTTCCTAGGATTTATGCCCCACTATATCTTCCTCATTCCCTAAGTTACAGTCTTCAACTGACGTATCGAGATAGAAAACTGACAAACGTTCCTGTTAGTCTTCTCGTTGAAGGTGATATTATCAAACTTCGACCTGGGCAAACAATACATTGTGATTGTGTGCTAATAACTGAAGAAAGTGTAAGATATCATTTAAAATACTTACACACATCGTAGGACGACAATTCTGTGAAATATAGCGTTGGAGATACTTTCCTACCTCATCTTGCAGGAAATTTCACTAGTAGAAATCCCTATCCTTCGGTACATCTAATGGATAGCTGCCATTTAGCCATTGTTACTTCTTCCCCAGCAGTAGAACAAATTAAAAGTATTTTCAAACAGAGGACGGCAAATCGGAAAGCTCGAATCAAAAACACATCGTCATTTGTCTTTCTCAAGGGTTCTGTGTTCTCTTCAGTAATTGCCGCAATGGTCTTCCTATTTGCTGCGATTATCATCTCTTCTGTTCGTGTATCTGTTCAGAATCGCTCAGTCGTGAATGCCGACTCCACATTATGGATTTTCTCTATTAGCACATTTATTCTGATAACAGCTATTAGTCTTTTTGTTCCTCTCATTTGGATTCTTACGCTCGGACTGAGTGTTAGCCATCTTAGTAGATATACTAAACTTCATAGTCATTGCAAAAGTGACCAACCTTCAGCTTTTAAAAATTTCTTGAAATCGGTATGTTCTTTTCTCTTAACATTAGTCAAAACCTCCCTGTTTAGGTGTTTATCCAACCAGAATCACAAACGGAACAATTACTCTTACATCTTGGTCGAATCAGTAGAATATGCTTTGTTGACAAAAAAGGAATCATAAGTCTGCCTATTCCAACCCCAGAAAAACTCTTTTTCTTTCGGGACCGACCAAATCGTCACCAGAAAACCTCGCGAACGAGATCATTCGGTCTCGGTACCAACTTTCAAAGCAGCGAATTCGTACCTCATCACGTTCCCTCTTCAAATTCATTTAGTGCCTCAAGCGGAGCTCAATCTGAATCTCGAAACTTCCTTACCAGTGTATGTTAATTTTTTATAAGAAACGTAATCGTTTAGGGCTCAAATGGTGGATCGTTAATGAAACCACACAGTCGGAGAAATTCCATTCAAAATAACTACTGCACACCAGAAGTCTTGAACATTAATGTCACTCTTGATTGTATTTACAAGCCACGTTTTGAATCTCCTAGGTGGGGACGATTTCTAGAGTGTCTCAAGCCAATTGGACTGAACCTCCTGCTAAACAATTGTCAGCCTCTTACCTATGAACACTATGCATCTTTTGCTGATCATCTTACGCGAATAACAGCAGCTGGTAGAAGCCGTCATTCAACTAATGAGGATTCTCAAACATATGGGGAGACAGTCGCAGTGGTTAACAACCGTTGCCTCTGTGGTTTAGCTTATCAAATGGGTTTTCGAAGATCGGCTCTTGAAAACTACTCTTTTGCTGCTAGTTTGGGCATCTATAAGGCGATCGAGAAGAATAGTAGTCGCATTCGTTTGGAGAAAACAACTGGAGACGATGGCGGAGATGATGAAAATTCGTTATACTTTAGAAGTCAAGCTGTAAGAATCCAAGAGGCTTATGCGTCTGTACCGAAAGATAATGCTAACGAGCCTCTGCCGGTACCGAATTGCTTCTGTACAATATACCGTGAGGCTACTAGTTGTGGATATCATGCAATGTCCCGAGGCTCTGGTGATCTGATCACTGCTCTGAGTACTACCTTTTGGAATGGTCGTGAATTATTGCCTATCATGGATGAGGAACGAACGTGGATGCTTGATTTCTACAATCTTAATGTCTCAACGAGCTACTGTATGGCCTTCTCCTATATGCCTCTCCTGCAATCTATTCCCCTGGTTCAGAATACCCGACTGGATTCTAAATTGGCAAATCAGATACATTTTCCTATACTCAAACTTCCTGTGGTAGGTTAGATCGTTTCGATAACGCATTTTGTCAATAGAACTTTGAGTTAAGAAGTCGAATTGCAACACGACCTTCGTCTGCTAGCTCGATGCATCCCGGGGATTCTTTGGACTCCGTTTTCCTCTATCAGCGTCTCAAACGAAGACTGACTGGAAAAGAGCTTCCTTCTTGCGCGGCTATGACAAATAGTTTGGCTGCACCTTCAAGGAAGACCAGTAATGTGGAGAAAAAATCCAAACCACATAGTGCTATTGGGGAATTACCTAGAGTGGCTTTCAGCTGTGGATCGTTGCCTCGGCTATCTTGTCAAACCAGCAGGTAATGCTAATTATATTTGAGGAGGATTAGATCTCGAAGAGTTAATATGTGGGTCTAAAATTTGGAGAGTGAAAACAGTGCGCACTCATTGTAGCCATTTCCTTATGAATCTTTCATATTTATATAAACTTGTTCTATGGACCCGCACAATTTAACGCCTCCACTTTGACCAGTCTAGAACAACAAGACTTCTCTATCCTCACCATTATTCATATTTTTCCGTTTTCAGTAGTGCAATCTTAGTTGTGGTCTTGTAGTAATGTTGAGTATCATATCAAGCTCCTAGGCACTAACTAAGCAAGAGCAAGTGTTGTGGCGGTTTTTTGGCCCAAGTTCCCAAACGTTTCAAGCTTCTCTCTCCCTCTTTGATGCTTGTCTGTGTGTGTGCATGTGTGTGTGTGTGTGTGTGTGTGTGTGTGTGTGTGTGTGTGTACACATTTAAATAGAGTGCGCATTAACAAAGTGAAGTACTTCGGTAAACAACCGTTGGACGTGTAAACACCGCTGGCACAGTCTTTTAAGGCAAATGTGTGCGCTTTTTCGATTTGCTCCTGTTAGTTGCCAAATGGGGTGTGACAAAGGTGTTCCATTTTAGGGGGGGGGGGGGGGCTGAAACGGAATTGAGCACGCCGTTAAGACCAGTTTCGGGTAAAATGGTCATTCATCTTGAAAAACAAACGGATCATTTAGTTTGTTGCCGATTGAGAGTAATTTTCTTAATTCATTTCAGTCCATTCACTGCTAGTCGAGATTAGGCAATGAATGCTTGTAGGAAGAAGTAACATCGTTCGTTGTCTTAATCGCCTATCCTTCGGCAATTTGTATTTTTTTGACATCCTTGTCATTGATAAGAACTTTAAAACAGTTCTGCTGCTGTTTTGTTTGGCTTATAAATTTTACTAATCTATACCACTTCTATTCTGCTATCGTTCAAATTGGGAAGGGGATTTGCTTTAATTGCCGGTATATTTCCACTTCCTTAATCCAATGGATCTTGCCCTTAATTGCAAGCATTTAAAAATGGTAGTCAACACAAACCTGAGCATTCAACACAAAATTGCCTTTTGACTTATGAATGGTTGCATTTTTTATTGCATGCTCTGGTGGTAAACGCAGTTGATTTACGTGAATAATAAATATTCCATTTTTTATTCTCCAGTGCCTTTTCCCAGTGTTTCATCATAATCTTTCAGTAAATGGGCGTTCCATCGCTCATAATGGGCCCAAATTGAAAAAAGAACGAAACTGGGTCGAAGGGAACGGCTCTTAAGTGTAGGCCCCTGTAATTCTGTCATTTTATAGGATGGCATGTGGGGTGTGGGGGTGGGGG